ATTTCCACAAGAGAACTGATCTCTAGTCTGGAGGTCAGTTGTAAAAGCAGGAGTTCTCCAGGGTCCATCTGGAGGTGGGCAACCCTAATGGATTGGTCTACTTGTTCATCAGTGGGGGATGTGTTATGTGTTCAGTTTTATATCCCATACTGTTCAATCTTTATGTCAGCTGTTGGGAGAGATCAGGCATCATTTTGGAGGGGAGGTTCATCAGTAGACCACCTGATACTTTTTGTATGTAGCTGTCCTGAACTAACGCCTGGCCACTGTGTTCAAGGGACTGAGGCTGGATAAGGTGAAATGAAACCATGACAGGACAAAGGTGGTCCTAGTTGGTGATGGTGAGGTCTTAAAGGGTGCTTGCTTCACGGATCTGATAGGGTTCAGCCTATCCTGGCTGACTAACTTAAGAGTGTAGGTCAGTGGTTTCCAACCTGTGGGCGGAGGACCCCTGGCTCAAGCATAGCCCCCCCAAGTGTGCACTGGCCCAGAAGGGTTGCTTGCCTACTCACAAGGAGAACCACTTCCTAGAAGAGGCTTGGGTCAGGGTGTATCATTTCCTGTTGTCCACCCCCTCCCAGAAATGACCGTGCCTTGAATGGAGGCATGGGATGTGGCACTTTAAGGAGCCACTGTTTAGCTGGTGGCTTCCTTGTGGGCCCATGGGTTGGCCTCTTTGGCCCTTTCCATATTTCTGCCAGCCTGGGGAAGGCTCTGAGCTGCATCAGGCAGCCATCAGGGGCCAGGAGCTCCACCACCCTCTTGGCTACCCCAGAGCAGCCTAGTAAGTGTGGCGGAGGTGTTGCCAGCCCTTCCCCACTCTCATCTGCACACTCTTCGTCCCAGCCTGACTGTACATACTGCACATGTCCCATGAAGCCCACACAGAACATGGGGAGCAACAGCCATATTTTGTGTTTCACAGAGAATCTTGCAGCGTTGAACACAGCAGAAGATCTTTGGACAATGACCAAGGAAGGGAGGGGCTGTGGCTCACTGGCAGAGCATCTGCTTGGCATGCAGATGGTCCCAGGTTCAATCCTCAGCATCTCCAGTTAAAATAGGGTTGCCAAACCCCCGCCAGGGGCAGGAGAACCCCCACTTTAGGGGGGTGCTTCCCTGCCACTGGCCAGCTGACCGGTGGGAGGAAATCCTGCCCCCAACTGGCCCGAAATGTGACATGATAATGTCACCTGGAAGTGATGTCATCATTTCACAAATGTGATGCAGTGACGCTTTAGTTTTTGGGCAAAACTGTATGGTAAAATCACCTACGAACCATAGAGTTTTGCTCAAAAACTAGAACATTACCACCACCACCCCGACAGCAGTGACATGATGATGTCCCTTCTGGGGGGGGGGGGGTTGTGCGGGGGGGGGAAGATTTTGGGAAGAAGCCTGGATCCCCCCACCGGCTGCCAGGTGGGACCTGGCAACCCAAAGTTAAAAAGATCAAGCAGGAGGTGATGTGAAAGACCTCAGCCTGAGACCCTGGAGAGCTGCTGCCAGTCTGACGATACTGACTTTGATGGACCCTGGGTCTGATTCAGGATAAGGCAGCTTCATGTGTTCCTCTGTTCATGTGAAGCCTTTTGGGAGAAATCAGGAAGTGCCAATAGCAATTGAGCCATGAAGATAAAGATGCCTCTTCCTGAATTGCCTTTTACATGATATGCAATCACTGACCATTAACACCATTCGGACGTTAAGTGCCCTGTGAGGGTCTGGGACCTCCAATTAAAATCTTCCCATTGTCCCCAATAAGCTCCTGCTAAAT